AGACTCTTCCCCTCTGGATCAGAAAAACAGAAGCATTACAATGTGCTATTCATACAGAAAGTGTGATTAGAAAAAAGGAAAATGCACGTGTGGGGTTGAGAACATCTGCTGTAACAAGTCATCTAGAGACAGCTAAGCAGTGGCTTTAAAGCAGCTTGCTAGTGTTCGGCAGAAAGGTTGAGGAGGAATGGGGATGGAGACCAATGGGAAGAGAGTAATTAGGTCATGCACCAGCCTCCGTCCTATATCTTTTATTTTCTCAGTGACAGACCCAGAGTCTCGTCAGCAAGGGAAGACTGTGATTAATGGCATCAGCCAAAAATATGACATGGAGATAGATCGCTCATAGCATGGTGCAGCTAGCTGGTGCCTGGGAAACAAGCTTACGAGACATATAACAAAAGTTGTGCACCAAACATAATGTGAAAAAGACCGGTTTCTTGGGAATGTTCTCACTTTTATTTCTAAGTCATGTATTTTGGGGACCTTAAATCTACTTTATGTGACATGCAGTGATAGCTACTCGATTTCGTAGTTTTTCCATCCACAATGAACTATCAAGACTGGGAGTAAATAATGACTAACGTACTCAGTTGCAGAGAGATCACTGATTACTTTGGATATTGTTATTTATTACTTATTTTAGGCTTTTATTTATTAATGATGGGATACTGTCCATTTTCCAACAACTTTCACATGTAGAGTTTGAGGTTCCCCATCCAGCTTTTTCAGTATTCTCATGGTTGAATAATCCTGACTTTGGTGCTACCATATATTTATATGGCAATGTGTACTCTTCCAAGGTTCACTTATTTGCATTACTTTATTTAATCCCCACAAACTTCCAATGGGCAGATACACAGTGGTGTAATCCTAATTTAAAAATTTGGATCACTGGAAATAATGAGGTTTACTTTTTTGCCTGAGATCACGCAGCTGGTTCCTAATGTAAAATGACTAAATCATACCTTTCTCCTGCAAGCTCTTCCAGAAACAGTATTGAGGTGTTGGGGCTCATGGGGATTCTGACTGGTGCACTCCACACTCCACTCAGATTCTACTGATGAACTGATAACCCTCTAATCTGGGTCTCCAGCCCTGATTTTACCCCAAGCTCCAAACTCACTGCTCCTGCTTACCTGGCTTATCTACACACGGAGATCTCACTAGCAAATGAGCTCAACCGAATTTATTAGCTTTCGGGCCCCTCCCAGACCTCGTGATCGTGAGTTCTTTATTCTAGTAAATGTCATAACCAAACTCTCAGTTGCCTTATTTCTGCGGCACCTGCCACTGTCCAGGTCTGGGCCTTCACCAGCAGCCCTCTAATGGGTGTCCCTGTCACCACCCTGAACTCCCCTCCTCCACGTGCATTCTCCCCATCACATTCACATGTGCTTTCTGAAATGCAAATCCGATCAGTCTCTTTCCTGAGACTTTCAATGGCTTCTCTTTGTATTTAAGATAAAATCTAAAATTCTTAACATAGCTTCCAAGAGCTTACAGAATCTGGCCCTATGTTTCCACCTTCCCTCGCCACTCCCTCTTTTTCAGTATATATTGAATATTTTCCAGCTTCCCAGAGTGTGCCCTGTTCCTTTTGCCTCCAAGGGTCTGTACCAGCTGCTTTCTTTTAGAACTCTCAGCCTAGACACCCTGGCCTCTGGGACACCTGCTCTGCCACAGCGCCCTCTGCTGTGCTCTGGATCTCCGTCCATTTCCCTCCCTGGACTGTGTTGTCAGGAGCGCCTGAGGCATGGCCATCTCGTTTGCCATTGTATTCCCATATTGAGTGCAGTGTATGAATCAGCTGGGTGGACATGACATTTTTGTTGAATGTATAAACACATGTTTCTAGATTTCCAGTGTTCTTTTCACGTTCCCCAACAATGTGCTCAATATTCTCTGGTTGATTTTAGTATTAAATTTTGAGTTCTTCTCTAAGATGTCTATACTTTGTAATTGTCCATAAAATTTCTTTTTTCCCCAGTATCGTGCTTTACTCTGATTAAATCTGGTAGCTTTTTGGATGAACTTAACAGATATCAGTAACAAACATTTATCAAGTAGTTCCTTTGTGCCAGGCACTGTGTTAAGTATTTTTCATGAATTTTCTACTTCCTTAAAATGATTCTGTAAGTTAAGTACTATTGTTATCCCCAGTTTATAGATGAGAAAATAGATACAGAGAGATGAAGTAATCTACCCAGTATCACAGCAAATAAGTAGTAGAGTTGAGTTTTGAACTCAGTGCAAGTCATACAGTTAAAGCCTGTTCCGCTTATGAAAAACAGAGCTATAATTTCTGTTTATAGAAATGCCTGTATTCTTGTGAGTTTCATAAAGGTTGTAACTGTTTGAATTTATGGGCTGAGTGTAGGCTTTGAAGCTAGTGTTGTAGCTGTAAAAAAAAAAAAAAAAAAAAAAGGGAAACCCAGTCTTGAATGTGATGAAGATTAAATGAAATAATGAACATAAAATATAGAACATAGGGACTGATACATTGTAGATTCCTGGAAAGTGATAACCGCTCATATTGAAGTTGTTCTAACTCTTCTTCTAGCTTACCTCACTGAACTTGAGAACTTAAGCAGTTCCAGTGGGGTGGCGGTATGCTAAAGAGAAAGTTGGATTTTTCAGTCTAAATAAATAAGAAAACTTATTTATAAGAAAACTGAAATGGCTAAGAAAAAGTGAACTTTGGATTTAGCTTGGACTGTGTACACTTGTATGAAGTTCATTTTAGCTTGTTTTGTGATTATGTTCCATATACATCTGTGAGCCAACATGGAAACCTAGCAGAGTGGCTATTTTCAGCACTTCAGAAGTGCTAATTACATACTGGCCCACAATAAAGCTATATAGGACCATCTTAAGACGTTAAGTTTATTAGCTCTTGGCTGTATATCATGTCTTTGAATTTTAAAAATAGCAAATTAGTTATTACTTGGGGAATGTATTTTGATAGATAAAATATTTGAAAATGTGAAATCTGCAGTGGAGAAATAATTTATTGAAAAGACCCTGATGGGGGAAAATTTTTGAACCACTATCTTATATCCCAAATAAGGTAAAATAGTTTGTTATTATTACATCATTGCATCTTTTTCTGCTGTGTATTGTAAGAACTTTGGTTTTTAAGGATTTGCCCTCTACTGCAAATATATAGCTTATCAAAGAAGGGGAGAAATAATGTTTTGGAGTTTAATTGTTAATGCTAATTTCTGTGAGGAGTCCTTTAGGTGGTTTCACTAAAGTTACTAAAACCATGCTGTCATGATATTTTGTAGTTATAAAATAAACAGCAGAAAAAGAAAACTTTGAAAAAAGTAGTAGGTGGACTACCAAGTATAAAATGGAAGTAATTTAAGTTGAAGTATTGTCCACTGCCCCCCAGATAGGCCCTGTTTATTATAGAAATTTAGTATGTATTGATATACCTGTTTAGTAGTTATTTCATGTTGAAGGCATTATCTCACTTGCTTTATCTCATGTGGTCCCCACAACAATCCTAATAGATAGGTTCTCCTGTCCTCAATTTTCCTACGAGGAAACTGAAGTTCAGAAAGGTTAAGTCACTCATCCGGTGTCACATAGCTAGTGAGTGGTGGAATTAGAACACAAATACAGGCCTTTCGAATTCCAAAACTCCATTTCCTGTCATAGGATATGATAAAGGAGAAATCACAAGCCAACATGAAGGAATCCTGGAGCAATTCAGGTTGGGATTATTGGTTGGCACTTTAAAGAAAATTTAGTTTGGATCGTTAGCCACGTTTCATGTAACAAAATTAATTTCAGATAGGTTAGATGGTTAAATTTTAAAAACAAATCAAAGTTTTAGAAAAACTAGAGGGTAGATTTGAGTACTTACCAAATTTCTGAAGCAGAATTTCCTGAAGCAGAATTTCTCTAAACTTTATAGCAGCAGTTGAAATCACAAAATAAAAGTATGTACAACTATAGCGTATAAAACAGGCATATAAAAATTAAATGATTTTTTAGTATCAAAAGTATAGATGAATTGGCATAAATTAAGAAAACAAGAATACTTAGTGCTGACAAGGAAATTGTCATATATTGCTTGTGGTATGATAAACTAGTAAAGGCCCTCTATAGGTTTAGCAAAAGTACATAAGCACAAAAATATCATCTCTGCAGTAATTCTGCTTCTGGGAATCTTTTGTAGTAGATAATCTAAGCTATCGAAAATGCTATCTCCTTGAAAATATTTTTGCAGTGTTTTTCATAAAACCAAAAATTAGGAAAAGAATAAAAAATGTCCAATGCGAGGATAGTGGCTAGTCAAACGCCCCACTGGGTTAAATATTTTTTATTATGTTATGTTATGTTATGTTATTTTTTTGAGACAGAATCTCACTTTGTCACCCAGGCTGGAGTGCAGTGGTGGTGCAGTCTTGGCTCACTGCAACCTCCGCCTCCTGGGTTCAAGTGATTCTCATGCCTCAGCCTCCCAAGTAGCTGCCCAGCCTCCCTAGTAGCTGGGATTTCTGGCATGTGCTACCATTCCCAGCTAATTTTTGTTTGTTTGTTTGTTTGTTTGTTTGTTTTAGTAGAGATGGGGTTTTACCATGTTAGGCTGGTCTCGAACTCCTGACCTCAGGTGATCCGCCCACCTTGGCCTCCCAAAGTGCTGGGATTACAGGCGTGAGCCACTGCACCCAGCCTAGGTGAAATGTTATATAACCATTATTATCAATGATCATAAAGCCTGCTTTCCAGTGTAAAACAATGGGTATGATGACATTTTTCATCTTATTTATGTTTCTACTAAGGTTACAGCTGTAGAAAATAATGTATGTTTCATAAAAGGCTGAAATGAAATATTTTATAACCAATGAAAGATTTTATAACCATTAAAATCTTAATCATGATTATTCAGGTAGTGAGATTAAGAGTTTGCTTTCTTTTCCAAGTTTTTGATAATATTTTATTATTTACAAACTCTAAACATAAAGGACTTCTTATTTGACCCACAGGATGGGTTTCCAGATTTCCAGGATTCTGTGCAAACGCTCTTCCAGCAGGCTAGAGCTAAGAGTGAAGAACTTGCAGCTCTTAGTTCACAGGTAACATAAACTCCCAATTATTATTTCATAATAGTATCTGAAGGTTAAAAAATAAATGACTACTTCAGCTAGCTTCAGTTTTAAGTGTTTGAGGACTGACTTTTTATTTCCGGTTGTTTTTTAAAACGTCATCTGAGCCACAGCTGTATCAACATGAGAGCAATAACAACTTGGTTTGATTCAGTTTATGAACGGAATCTGATATGATACTACTTATTTATTCTTGTAGTTTTGTAGGAAGTGAGACGGATTCTGTACTCAAGAAAACTTAAACAGTTTGATAATCAGGAAAACCAGCCATGTTGACCCTGGCTGTGTGTAATACAACTCTGAGATAAAATAATACTAGTTCTCAGTAAAATATCAATAAAATACTAATATGAACATTGTAATTATTGTTAAATCTTTTACATTCATATTTATTGAAAAACTGTTAAATGAATATGTGGCTTCAGGTGCTTTTGCCAGTAAGTTATTTAATTGTGTCTGTATACTGAAATTAAAATTTTAAAATGCTTTCTGCAAACATCATCTTTTAGAAAGCACTGTAAGCTTTTATTCCTGTTGAACAGCTTTCTTGTAATAACTTGCTTTTGGTCAAATTTAGTACTGCTAAGTTTTGTTTTTTTCATGTTAGAATGAAAAATACATTTTTAACCTCAGATATGCTTATTTAAATTTTGTCAATTTAGTAACAATTTCAAATGAAATGAAGCTGTAGTTACTTTTGATTTGGTTTATATGCATTCAGAAAAATAGTATAAGTGTTTATCATGTTTATTCTGTAAATTAATATATTTTACCTAATGATTTTTACATTGTGAATCAGGGCTTTTTGTAACCAATTTTATATAGAAGCTTTCTTGTCCTACACTTTTATATAGCATGGTAGTGATTCATATCTGTGCATTTTGACTATTATCTCCTTGGCAAAATACCACAACAAATACACTGCTCTGAATATCACATATAAGTAATTTAGAGCATTGAAAAGGAACTTATAAAACACATGCAGAGATAAATTTATATGTCAGTTGACTAATTGTGTATTTAAAATATGCCTTTTTATGATTGGTTGGGAAATACTGCAGTTTCATGATGAAGGTGAAAATGCTTATTGGCACTGATGTTTTTCTGCATAATTTACATTGTTTAATTTTAGTGGGAGGTGTGTTTGTCTTGTTCTTCTAGACAGCCGTTTTACACCTTTTCTCCCCCAAACATATTGTCATATCAGAGTCTGTGTCCTGCCAGATCCTAAAATAAAAATGCCAAGATTTCGCCCCAAGTGTTAGAAGTAGTTTATAGCAGATGTTGCTGTTGCTTTTAGATTTCTTTTTTAAAAAATCCTTTAAAGGACTTAGTACCTTGGAAAACAAAGGTAAGGTTATGTTGCTTTTGAACTGACATAGAATTCTCTTGAAAGAATTGAGAAGAAAGCTTTTATCTTTTGTACAATATCCAGCCTTTTATGTTTTAACATGATGATATAGACATCTATGCATATTTATGGAATTTGTATACCACATGAAGCATGAACTAATTTTAATGAATACTAAATATATTTGCTGGAGTCTGAAATTGGCATCTTTAAACCATTAAAAAATCTAGAATGTTTCAGTTACTGATGTGATTTTTGCTTTACTTACTAGCAGCCTGAAAAGGTGATGGCAAAGCAGATGGAGTTCCTTTGCAACCAAGCTGGCTATGAGAGACTTCAGCATGCCGAGAGGAGGTTGTCTGCAGGGCTTTACAGGCAGGGCTCAGAAGAGCACAGTCCTAACGGCTTGACTTCCGATAACTCAGATGGACAAGGTACATCTTTAGAATATCCTAGGCCTTTAGGGCCACTATGTGCACTTCAAAGAGAAACACAAGACAGTGGCTGATTTTTGAATTATGATATTTTGTAGAGATTATTTTACAGGTTCTCTTATCAAAGTTAGTTTTTAAATTCTTCATTTTCTTAAAAGGAAATAATTTATCCTGCAGATTTTAATTTGTAAATGTTTTAATCTTTAAGCAGTTGGCACCTGAGATTGACATGTATTATTTTGTAAGAAGTTGGTGGGAATGTGAGATGTCAGCAGTACAGATTATTTTCCCCAAAGAAACGATTCCAGGAGAGATGTTTATCCTTTTTAAATGACCAAAACTTCGTATTTTTTTAGACTTCAAAAACAAGTTTGTGAAATTTACAACATTTGCGTCTTAAAAGAATATGGTAACTGCTTCTAAAGTATTATGACAGAGTACAGCTCAGGTTTAGAAAGTCATGTGATTCGTGTTTTTACCATTCTACGAAGTACTTCATTCTTTTCACATCCTCACATAGAGAAAATCCCAAGCCATTGTTATTCGCTCATTCAACAGGCATTTTATTAGCATTTCCTACGTGCCAGGCACTCTCCTAGGCACTGAAGATGCAGCAGAGAACAAATCCCTGTTTACCTGGAGCTTACCTAGAGGGAGATGTACAGGTTATAAATATATACATGTATCCCCTAGTTTCAAATAGTAATAACTGTTTGAAGAAAAAAATAATTCTATAGTGCCTTCTTTTTATATGTTATTGTTATACTTTTCTAGAGAATGGTTATTATTGAAAAAAAAAAAAAAAAAAAGGATTTCTAGGTAAGAATACCATCTTACCAAGGATTCTCAAGCCATGGAGTGAAATATTACATGTGTCAACAGATCAGAGTACTGAAAGAGAAGAAAGTTCTTCCTTTTAAAAATAGTACAGGAACCTTTGAGTTGAGGTCTTGTTTAACTTCTCCAGTTGTCCTTAACATGTTAAGAAGCAAAGGCGGTTATTAAAGATTTGGTGACTCTAATTTGTGACACCAGGATAATTCAGTGTGGAGTGACAGTTTGCTAATATGGTGGATTTCAGTACATGACAACATGATTGGGTGTATAATTTTTTCCCATATTTGTGCTAAATCTGTTTTTTCATGGATTTTGCTGTCATTTTGTTTTCTTTTTTTTTTAATCTGTGATTGGCTTGAGGCCTTCTCTGTCTTTCTAGTACTTGTTATTATATGATTAATGACATGCCTTGGTAAAATGGTTGCACTAGTAAGAAAATGTCTTATAGAGGAGATGTATTATATGCCAAAACTGGAATGCTCACTGGAATTCTCAGTCTTTTGTTTAGCTCTTAAAAATATCCTGGCAGAATTGTAAACCTTGGGACTAGCATGACATGACTTGCCATTTTCCTCTTAAATTATTATTTAAAATGTTTTTTCCAAGTCTTATTTAAATTCTTCAGTGCTCGTTGACTTTCCTCACTTTTTTCCTAAGGAGTGTTCAGGCAATTTTTGAAAATTTATTTTTCAGGAAAACCATGGTGTGTTTTTAATATTATGCATATTTCTTTTTTCTTTTCATTAGGAGAAAGACCTTTGAATCTCCGAATGCCTAATTTACAGAACAGACAACCCCATCATTTTGTAGTGGATGGGGAGCTGAGCAGACTTTACCCCAGTGAGGCAAAGTCCCACTCATCAGGTGAGAATGTGCTATATGATGAGAGGGTAACACTTGAATAAAAGGATCTTTAAATTCTGTTCTCCTATTCCCTCCCCCACCAAAAAAAAATGTCATCACTGACAGTGTTCCTACAGGTTGAATATCCCCAGTTGGAAAATTCAAAATGCTCCAGGATCCAAAACTTTTTGAGTGTCAGAATGACACTCAAAGGGAACCCTCATTAGAACATTCCAGATTTGGGATGCTGAACCTTTAGTATAATGCAAATAGTCCAAAATCTGAAAAAACTTGAAATCCAAAGCACTTCCTGGTCCCAGGCATTTTAGATAAGGGATGCTCAGTTGTCAGTTTTTCTCCCCTTGGAAGTGATAGATTGCCATAACACTGGCTGCTCTAGCTAGTCTTTTTGCAAACTTCATATTCCGAACAATGACAGGGAAAACTCATAAAAGTTGAGATTACTTTGATTCACCATTACATGAATGGTGATGTTTATATGAAAGTTTAATAATAAATAGCTGGTTTGAGTTGTGTTACTACCTTTTTTGGCAATAACATAATATGAAATTGATGGACTACATATTTGCTTTGACACTGAGAAAACCTTGCGTATCAAAATCTAGACTTTTCATGCAGATGCATTTTGGAGGTGATACTCATATTTCAGAAGTAAACTGAATTCCATAAAAGGATGAGCAGCTCCTTATCATAGTTAGATATTTACCTATTTTTACCCAAGTAAAGTGAGTTAGACCTAGTTAAAGCATTAGAGACCAGCACCATTTGAAAGAATCTGTTATCATTCCAAGTCTTAAAGTCGCTTTAAGAGTCACTTAATCACAGTCACTGATTTTATAGATGAGGTAGCTAAAGTCAAATAAATAGCTCCAAATTTGCGTTGTAAGTCAGCGGGAAATGTAGTTTTATAAGCATTAGGATTAAACCTGACTTTACATTAATTCTATCTAAATAGAATGAATTATGTATTTACTAGAAAAAAAGTTATCAAGAGCATTTATGTCTTTCAATTTTAGATCATACTCTTGGTAGCAGATGCTAAAAAGACGAGTTCTAAATAATGTTCTGGTGCTGTGACTTTATAGCATGCTATTGCATACTTGATTGTAGCCACTTTAATAATGTCAGAGGGAGGTTGAGAAATTGAAATTATCCTAAAAAGCTGACATCTTGGTCTCATGTTTTCCACAGCACAAAAAAAGTGATGTATTCTTTAAAGTTTTTTAAAAATGAACAAAAAACCACGTTTTACCAATTTATATTCCTTAGAATATATAACAGGAATACTCCAATTACATTGATCATGTGTCTCATCATGGGGCATATTTACATATTTCATGGAGATACATTACATAGAGATAGAATTGATCTAGGTCTTTATGTAGAACCAAATGAAGAAATGCCTGAAAAAGCCTTTTTCTTTATTTTTAACTGAATAGAAATAATACAGGTTTCATATAGTGCAAGCCTGGGTCCAGATCTTAGCACCGATACTTGACTGAGTGACCTTGACTGAGTTACTTAAATACCCTGTCCTTCAGTTGCTTCATCTGTAAAAGCGAAGTAATTTCTACCTCATTGGGTAGTTACGAGGATTAAACAATATAGTGTACCTGCATCGTACACTATCTATTCCAGCCAGCAGGAATTCAATAAATAGAAGCTACTTTTTTTAATACTCTTACACAGAATTTAAAATCCCCTTCTGTTTAGAGAGGATTCATAAATTGAACTATTTAATTTCAGATAAGCTGTTAGTATTGATTACTTTCTAGAATCCAAGGTGTGAGTGTATGTGATATGGATGTTTGCATGTATATGTGTGTGTACATATCTCCCAGTATTTGTACTTTACATAAAGGTTACATTTGATTGTTATTATGTAGTGTTTGTGTATGGTTGAAATAACTATACACATAGAACTCCATGGAATGATTTCTTATGAAAATAGTGTTCATTATTTTATCCCTATTTCTCCCACCTTAATATGTCATTGTCAGAAGAACTTTAAAAAATAGTTCCAAGGTTATGAAGATATTTTTCAGTCTGATTCCTTCATTGATGGTAAATATTTAACCAGTAACAGTTATATATGAATAATCAGCTTCCTTTTATATATTTATCATGTTGGATCAAGCATTAGATAAAAATTAATGTGTTCTGTATGCTAAATGTTTTATGTGCATTTCATTATTTAACTTTCATGCCACTTTATGTAGATACTATTCCTATTTTATAGATGAAGACAGTAAGGCTTAGAGAGGTGTATAACTTGCCCAGAGATGTATACACCTAGTAATTGGCAGAGTTTGAATTTAAATCCAGAATCCAAGCTCTTAATAGCTCTATGAACAGAAATTTTATATGGAATTGCAGAATCATGAATAGTTGATACTCTGTGGTGTGGAGTTTAGGGGTTTGTTTTAAAACTTTGATTTTTGTAGTCCATTGATTTAAAATATCAACTCACTTTGTTTCCATTTTTATGTAGAGAGCCTTGGGATTTTAAAAGACTACCCTCACTCAGCTTTTACCTTAGAAAAGAAAGTCATCAAAACAGAGCCTGAAGATTCAAGATAGCTGTGATTTCTCTCACCGTTTTCTGGAAATGGCATCAGATTTAAGGATAATACTCCATCATAGAAATAAGCCTTAATAACCAGTGTTGCCTCATTCAGCTCAAACAGATTTCATAGCCAAAGCAAAAGGACTGGTACGGTAGTCTGTGGAAACTGGGAAGATAAAACAACAGCCACAAAAGAGAAAATCAAAAGAGTGTTGCAATCTATAATAGTAATATTGATTCATTCACATTCCTGTGTTAAGTCATTTTATATGGAAAGGCTTACAGATCAATATTGTAAGCATTCATTATTTAAGAATGTACGATGTATTTGTGTAATTTATAGAAGTAAAATCTAGATGTTGAGACCTGTTTGGTCCAATAGATGTGGATACAGTTTATTTTACTTGAAATTTTGTTGTCTACTTTGTGTGTTCAACGTAAATATATGTCAGAGTTTAAAATCTTTGCCTGCAGTTGTGAAAAAGAAAGCTTAAGTGATGTAGTTATTGGCAAGATTGCAATGATTATGGAAAAATAGAAAGCAAATACTCAGTTTAAGCCAAGGAAAATATTGTGGATTTAGTATTTGATAAAACTGATTTTGTTTAACAGGAAATGTTTAGCATTCACTCATATAACATCTGGTTATCAATGCACGTTTACACAATAAATACTTGAGTGGAGGAAAGTTAAAAAGATGAGCAATAGAGTAGAAAATATCTTTTAAACTAGTTGGCCTAGATTGTATTAATAACTACTTGAGATGTTTCAAAGATAGGAAGCTATTACTTGGACAGAGAACTTGAAATAAGTGGACCCATGTATAAAACCTTTGACTTAAACATTGATATTTCAGAATGTGTTAAATAGATTAAGACATAGTAAGTTAACCCTACATGTTAGAAAGATGGCGACTGTTAACAAAGGCTGTAACAGATTAAGTACTATTTTATATCCAGAAAGTCTTCTCTATGTAGAGAAGTCAGAGAGACTAGATGCTTTCACTAGGGAATATCTTCCCACCCAGCCATCACAAGTGTGGACAATCACTGCATCCACATCTGTAGGCATATTTCCATGGAAGTTTAGTTGACAGCTGTATTCATTATTTATTTTACAATTTCATTTTTCTACACCTTTGAGATTTATGAATGCAGTTTTTTCTTAAAATGTATTTTAACTTGACAGTATGTTTTTAGTTCCCCCAATTTAACTAATGGACCATATGCATATATATGGGAGTATGCTTACATGTTAATAATATACTTGCATACTTACGAGAATTTCACATTGGAATTCATAATGGTAAAAAAACATACATCTGCCAATATACGTTTTTTCTGTTGGTTTAAGAGAAGATAACTGACAGCTTTACCTACTTCCTACAGATGCATCTAAACCCAGATATTGCTGAGAAGAGTGTATTGACTCTAAGACTGAGAGTAAGAGAGTATGTGTTTTTTTGTTTTTAGTTCTGCTCTAGATCATAACTGTAAAAAATATTAAGTCATAATCTGTTACACTAAAATTTGTCAGCCAAATGTTAGATGAAATGTCTGCACTGTAGTCTCAGATCACTGTCACATATATAAATTGCTTCTTCATTTTAATTTGTAGAAGTACTTTACAGTAGGAAACACCAGTAAACAACTTTTATACTGTTAAAAGGCTTTTTTCCCCTTCCTAAATGTTTTAATTGTGTCATAGTGTTTTGCTCACTGAAGAAGCTTCTTATGGACCTTGCAACTTTGTTGCTAGCTTGAGGTTGATTATTGTGGTTGTATTGTTCACTGTGTGTAGAAATAGTATGAGTACGATTTCAATAGACTGTTCAGTTTTTAATATTAGCCATAGCACTGGTTAGTATCTCAGTAGTTTCATGAAACGTTTCCTGTATTCTAATCTATTTTGAAACTTTTTGTTTTTTTTAAATTGTGTCTTACAGTCAAGTTTGTAGATTTTCATAAGCCACAATTTTAAAAGATGCAGTAATCTTCCAACCTCCAATATTTATCCATTCGTTGTGGACCCACACATTGCATCTTTAAATTCATAATAAGTTTCCTTAACTATCTTATGTTTCTGGTCTTTTAAGCTTAGTGATAAGGTGGAAGCACAAGAAAAATTTCAGTAGAATACAGTTTTTATTTTGTAAACACTAATGTATTAAACTTGCTATACATTAAAGCAAATAATATATATTTTTATTTGAATTGTATATGTGAATTGGAAGTTATAACTAGTTGATTTTTTCATTTTGTTAGAGGTATTTTCACTGAACAAGGTCAATTGGTTACCTCAGTATTACAGCCAATATAGTCCAAGGGACCATTTCTCCCTGAGTCTCTTATACTTTATTGTGCGATGTCCACGTTTTTGTGACTCTTCAAGCTGTTGGTGAGGTGGGACGAGTGCACTTGCTTCCTGTGGCAATAAAGATTTTCTGTGCCTCACATATTTATGTTTATAGCATTTTCTACATAGCAGTTTTCCAGTGACTAATATTAACCCACTCTGCCTCGCTTATCTGCTTATTTAAGCTGGGTTTCAGTATTAGGGGACAAGAACTTATGTCTTAAGTTGGAACTAAGTATTGTCAGCTACCGTCATTTCTAAGAAGTCATTTGGTAAACAGGTTCTCAGTAGACTCTGGTCTGGCAGAGAGAGGTCAATTTATATTGTTCTCATTTATGAGAAGTTTATGAAGACATTTTTAAAACTCCGCCATTTCTAACTATGAATAAAAGGAGGAACATTAGGATTTAACATCTATAATACATATTTGTAAAATATTAATGTGATTTGGGTTCAGTATTATGGGCTAATTATATGAAATAGAGCTAACCTGTAGTAAAGAACCAGAAAGAGCCTTTCAACAAGTATTGATGAGTTCTGTAGATTAATGAAGATCATCAATGTGCCAAGCACTGTGCTAGGTGCCAGGGAAGAGGTAAAGGCCCCAGATAAAATACATGATCCTTGCCCAAAACCTAGTTGGATGGGAACTAATACCACTCACATAAAAATAAAAATTTCAGTGCCTTACATATTGGGATGAGGAGCTGACGTTTAAGTGCATTCCGTATTAGGCAGACATTATGGTAGCAGGCACTTTACAGGTGAGAGAAAGCACTTTTAGTGAGTGAGATTCAGAAGAGATCGGCCAGGACTGAAAACATTTAGAGGTGGAATTTGATAAAAAGCCATAGTGGCAGCACATTTCTCTTTGAGGCTGCCTTTTTTTTTTTTTTCCTTGGTTGAATTACTGCACTTTTATTTTGAAACTGCATGGCAGATCTGCTTGCCTGGGTAATACTTCCTTTGACGATCTATTGAATCTGTCAAAAGGTAGTGGGGAAAGGTGCTTTTCTTCTGTCCTTAATTAGTGAAACCACTTGGGTAGAAGCTTTAGGCTTTGGTAATTATGATACTACTAGCACCTCGTGTACCTTTACAACTATAGTTGACACTATTTAAGACTTAAAAGCTAAATAAGTATGCAGGGAATTTCCTAAGGTCTGCCCACTTGGGTCTCAAATGGTTAAGTATTACTAACACAATGCCCATTTTGCTTGTGACTTCACTTAATATACTACATCGAGTCTTCAAAAGAAAACCAAGGTATTAACCAACCTGATGAAGCCAGAAGGTCTGCCTCTTTTAGGAAGTGAATTCAATTGGTAAGTAGCTGAAGTTAGAATTGAACAAACCTTGTATATTTGTAACAGCTTGAATGACCAAATACGGTAGTTGTTCTTTTACTAAAAGCCACCACCATATGGTCCAGCTGTGCATGGGTGGTGTTTCAGGGAATGCAAGCTTGTTATCTGTGGGTGTCCTCATAAATGAAATTTGTAAGCAGACCTCCAAAGTTAATAAAAGAATGATCCAATGTCCTGACATTTTTATTGTAAATACAATTTAATATCAAAAACCTTACTGTTAACTATGTCCATAGTGATCCAGTAAGACAATTTTTATTTCACGTAGAAGTGATCAAAAGCAAAATGCTGGAGCTAGGATTTTTCTTACTGAGTATGCAACAGTTAAACCTTTAAAACATCTTTGGGAGGCCAAGGTGGGTGGATCATGAGGTCAGGAGATCGAGATCATCCTGGCTAACGGTGAAACCCCGTCTCTACTAAAAAAAAGAAAATACAAAAAAATTAGCCAGGCATGGCGGCGGGCGCCTGTACTCCCAACTACTCAGGAGGGTGAGGCAGGAGAATGGCATAAACCTGGGAGGCGGAACTTGGAGTGAGCTGAGATCGTGCCACTGCACTCCAGCCTGGGTGACAGTGCAAGTCTCCGTCTCAAAAACAAAAAAAACACAAACATCTTTTGGCATCTGTTTCTGCTGACCTATGACTTTTTTTGTGGTCACCTCGAAGGTGTTTTTTATTTTTTGTGCAGAAAAACCTAATCAGAAATTTATTTTTTAAGTTCATAATCAACTTATTAGAGTTAGAATGCAAAAATGTATTGTTCTTAGAGTTAAGTTTAGCTTACAAATCTTTACTAAGTTTAGCAAATCTTAATCACTTTTAAGGGAACTGTGAACTGGTTCTGTTTACAAAGTTGGTTAATTAAGCCTTATTCTTCTATAGTCTTCCCATCTGTTAGGTCACACAATTCTTAAGTGTTAAAAAGATGTCCTGTTGAATTCTAGGTCTCCCAGCTGTGTTTGACTATTTGGTCACAATTTCCAAATTGTTATTCTGACTGCTAAGTGATTTACTTTCAAAGTATTGCTTCGATAATGTTAAAGGTCTACTTCTAGCACTTCATCTTAAAGGAATGTTTAATGAGTTTTTTGGTTTTTTTTTTTTTTGCAATTGGGATAAAACCCTCAAGGAACATCAGACTCACATAAAATAGTAATCAGTTCTTATTTTAACATCCATATGAAATCCTTAGTTACCATTATTTTTCCATTTTATTCTTTTAATTTTAAAATATTTGACAAAAAGATATTAAAGTATACAGTGTGATGGTTTTTTATACAAGTACATTGTATACTGATTACCACAATCAAGACACTAAAGTGGGAAATTACCTCTCCTAATTTTTGTTGACTTTGTATTTAGTGCACTCTAGTCAATTTAGTTATTAAATATCTTAATAAAGAATAACTTTCAGTAAAATGTTTAAAAAACTTCCTCTGCACAGAGCATTATTCTACATTTATGTAAACTGAGAAACCCACCTAAATACAGTTGTAAGTTTTAGAAGTTTCTATTGAAATGTTTGCTTTATTATACAATTCTATTTAAGTTTTCCATTCTAACTTATTAAAAGAATCGGCTTCTTCACAGTCTCTGAGAAGTAGTGATTGTTGAATGTTGCCATCAAAACATAATGTTGCAAAATGTAGATTTAGATTAAGTACATCACATTGGTTCAAGATGGTAGTGCCACATATGAACCCAATAATTTTTCTCACTTATTAAGAGTGACAAATTTTGTGAATTTCCTGTTAGTCCAAACAATTTGATAATCAACCTAGCCTAGTTTTGCTGTGGGTGAGCACTAGTGATGGTATAAATTAGAATGTGCTTCATATGTACACATTCTGAAACCTTGTGAGTCATCTTTGCATTAAAAGTTTGCACCTCATAAATTTGTTTTTTAAAGTGCCATGTTCAACACCCACACATAATCCCAAGCAAGCATGGCCATTCTCTTGTAACTGTCACAGACACCCTATATTGGCAGGTCACTTAGGCTGCAGTATGTAGGAAGCTAGTTAAGTAGTGCACACGTAGGTGGAATCTTACTGGTAACTGTTTCAGCAGAGACATTTTATAATTTTCTGAGACTACCTATCGTCTTCAACTGAACTGTTAAACCAAACATCTGTGGTCTAGCACCAACCATACCCTGCTATTATCCTTCCCAAAAGACAAAGTGGTTTTTTTGGTAGCATGTTCTTACACTGTAGGCTCTTCAGAGTCTCATCATTTTCATTATTTCCCCCCTCCAAAAAATATGTATTTTCCATCCCCAGATCCCTGACAACATAATGTAAGCATGTTTTTCATCAGCAGTTAAAATGGACTAGGTCATTCATTTTCTTTCTGAATTCAACCAATGTTTCCATCATCAGAAAATGCTCATATATTTACTTTTCTTTTGTGAGTTTCTTTTGCATATATTGGCTAACTTTCTTTTTTTTTTTTTCAAACCATCTCTTCATTTATTTTTTTCTTTTTTTTTTATTATTATTATACTTCAAGTTCTAGGGTACATGTGCATAACGTGCAGGTTTGTTACATATGTATACTTGTGCCATGTTGGTGTGCTGCACCCATCAACTCGTCAGCACCCATCAACTCGTCATTTACATCAGGTATAACTCCCAATGCCATCCCTCCCCCCTCCCCTTTCCCCCCTCCCCGTGATAGGCCCCAGTGTGTGATGTTCCCCTTCCCGAGTCCAAGTGATCTCACTGTTCAGTTCCCACCTATGAGTGAGAACATGCGGTGTTTGGTTTTCTGTTCTTGAGATAGTTTGCTGAGAATGATGGTTTGCAGCTGCAGCCATGTCCCTACAAAGGACACAAACTCATCCTTTTTTATGGCTGCATAGTATTCCATGGTGTATATGTGCCACATTTTCTTAATCCAGTCTGTCACTGATGGACATTTGGGTTGATTCCAAGTCTTTGCTATTGTGAATAGTGCCGCAATAAACATATGTGTGCATGTGTCTTTATAGCAGCACGATTTCTAATCCTTTGGGTATATACCCAGTAATGGGATGGCTGGATCATATGGTACTTCTAGTTCTAGATCCTTGAGGAATCGCCATACTGTTTAGAATGGCGATCATTAAAAAGTCAGAAAACAACAGGTGCTGGAGAGGATGTGGAGAAATAGGAACACTTTTACACTGTTGGTGGGATTGTAAGCTAGTTCAACCATATTGGCTAACTTTCAAGTTGGACCACATCTTTCTGATTTTTACTGATGAGAAGGCAACAGAAAAATTTGTATACTGAGATAGGGACATCGCAGATACAGCCAGGTACTTAATTCCAATTCTTAGGATAATAAAAGGCAATTTCCACTTTAAAAATTAACATTAAAGGGGAAATTAATTAGAGGTTATGTAATTTATTCAAAGAAGAACAACTTTAATATATTTTAATATTTAAAAGTGAGAAGAGAGGATTCCATTTCTCAAGACTTTTCCATTTCATGTCACAGGTATGTGACAGCTGGCTTATAAGTGAAGTCACTTTTTCTGTGATTCCTTATTTAAAAGACAGGATCTAGTTCTGCCTTGCAAAGCAAAAGATTTAAAACTCAGGCTTATATTCTTAATCTAGTAGGTAGTGCTATATAACAAATCCACCAGTTCTAGCACTGGGCCAACTGCTTTACATGTAATCCTCTGCAACTCCAGGAGCTACTCATCACCCCCATTTCGCAGATGAGAAAACAGACGTCTCAA